ATTATTGTTGTTGTTGTTGTTGTTATTATTATTATTATTATTATTATTATTATTATTATTATTATTATTATTATTATTATTATTATTATTATGGCTCTTTTTGTAGCAGGAACTCCTTTGCATATTAGGTGACACACCCCTAATGTAGCCAATCCTCCAAGAGCTTACAGTAGCCCGTGTAAGAAGTGCTCTGTAAGCTCTTGGAGGATTGGCTACATTAGGGGTGTGTTGCCTAATATGCAAAGGAGTTCATGCTACAAAAACAGCCCAATGATGATGATCATCACCATCATCTCCAGGCAAGGAACCGATGTCTTGCTATATCTTGAACAAATGACAAAAACACACTCCCATACCCCACCTAAGAGTTCTTGAAACCCTGGAACAAAGTTTTGAGTCCAGTGGCACCTTTAAGACCAACAAAGACCTGTCCTAACCTGGATAGCCCAGGCTAGCCCAATCCCATCAGATCTTGAAAGCTAAGCACGGTCATCCTTGGCTAGTATTTGGAAAGGCGACCTCCAAGGAATACCAGGGTCATGACACGGAGGCAGGCAAGGGCAAACCACCTCTGAAACGTCTCTTGCCTTGAAAACAAGTCTAGCTCACCACCTAGTGGTGCGTAATGCTAAAAGAGGTAGAACTTCTGGCTTAGGATCTCCTGGCTGTTCTACACACAGTGCCATATGATGATAATTATTCGTTTTATTCCTGGTATAAGCTTTCGTGTGATGCACACAAAAGCTTTATACCAGGAATAAAACTTGGTTGGTCTGAAAGGTGCCCCCACTGGACTCAAACTTTGTTCCGCTGCTTCGGACCGACACGGCCACCCCCACCTGAATCTATCTTCTTGAAACCCTGTTGAACTGACTGTCTTACTTCTGGAAGCATCCATTCCTCCCATATCTCTGCCCTTGCTGCAAGATGCACAACACTTGAGAAACTGGAAGCTCCTGGGCCCAGAGCAGCCCCCCAGGGTACTTCCATGAAGACCTCTCCCTTCAGTTACCGAACCCCAGAAGTAAAAGAATTGTGTGGATGAGTAACCTCGGTAGGACTAAATAGCAGGATATTTTGTGGGGTGGACCTCCACCCCTCCAAGCTCTTCTCTTAGTGGCCGTCTGGCAAAACTGCTTGTTGATTAGAGCACTAAAGTTCTTATCAAGGGTTCTAAAATTTGGGCAATATATTGTAGACTGGTAAATATGGAATAGCTGTCTGGTGATATATTTTAACTGACCCAGTGATATTCGTAGGATGGAATTCTGAACACACTTACTAGAGAGTGTGCGCCATTGAAATCAGTGGGACTTGCTTCTCAGAATGCATGCTGAAGATTGCACTTTTAGGTGGGCCAGAGTGGAATATTTCTTCCATTTTCAGCATTATGTATCCAATGGCAATAGCTATAGAGTTAAGGCATGTTAGTTTTCCTGTGTCTTAAAGGCACCACTGGACTCAACCTCAGCTCTCACATCTGTTTAACTCTTTTATTTGCTGCTATTTATTTGCTGCTATTCACAGGTCTTACCAGCTGCTTTAATCCAATCTTAGCTATACTTATCTCTGTTGCATATGCATCTGGACCAGAGTTGTCAAACATGCAGCCCAGGGGACGGATCAGGCCCCCGGAGAGCTTCCATCAGGCCCGCAGTGGAACTGGCTGTCTTTTGCTTCTTCTTCCAGTCCTGCTGTTGCTGCGTCATCGTAGGTTTGCAGCTTACAGACACACACCTGAACAGCATACTCAAGGTTGCAACAGCACAGACATTTTGATGCAATAATTCAGAGCAAGAGGTGTCAGTTATCAGACACTGTTAAATAAGCAAAATATTGCAAGACTGCTAATGTTTTAAGCGTGTTTTTATTTTAAGTAAAAAAAAAACCTTTGTGTTTGTGTCCTTTATAAAGTTTATATCTCCGCTACCTGGCATTACATTTTATGACACACATGGCCCGGCCCAACAAGGTCTCATATGACAGATCCGGCCTTCATAACAAATGAGTTCAACACCCTTGATCTTGACTCTAATTAGCCCTTTTTGGCAACTAATCCCCCCCACATACCTGTATGTAATGGTTGGGGAAGTCTTTTTTCAATGTATTGCGTGCACACGAAAGCTTCTAGCCAGAATTAAACTTTGTTGGTCTTAAAGGTGCCCCCACGGGACTCGAACTTTGATCTGAGTAGTGTTATTGATTGTAAGGACTGGCCTTTTTGAGGTTTTGCTGCAGAACCCAGTGGGGTTAACTTCCTGATGTAAAGCAAAATCCAGAAGCAAATGCAGGGGATGCAGTTGAGGTGAGACTTGCTACAGGAAGCCAGATAGTTGGAGGTTTTTACCCCTGCTACAGCTGATAGGTGATATTTAAAAGGGAGTTAACTTGCTTTAACCCACCCACCTACTTCTAATACACATGAAGGTCCCTGATGTGTGGTTTTCCATCCTGCCAGTTTATCACTGGGAGGAAAGAATTAGCATCTCTCAATGTGCCTGTTCCAGAAATGTGAGCTGTTGCCACATTGCATTATGGGGGATTACAGCACTGCCCATGCCCAAATGCGGTGATGAAATAAGGTAATTAAACCAGGAAATGGGACCAACCAAAGGCATTCCTCTTCCATTGTAGGCTAGATTGCTTGGGAGGGGCCCCCTATGAGAGAGAGAAGAGGGGATAGATTTACCTTGTGGATTTCCCTGCCTCAGTTCCCCTGTGGCCCCGACTGCGTTGTGTAAATATGCTTACGCTGTGCTGTGCTGGGGAAGAGATGGGTGTGAACCTTGCTCCCTCAGAAACACAAGAACTTCCTCCCATGAACATCCTGAAACTCAGTCTAACCTAGGGTGGCAGGTTGCCAGTTAAGCCCTCGCCGAATAGAGTTCTGTAGGTACATGACGGATGTGCAGGGCTGTGGCTTAGTGGCAGAGCCTCTGCTGAGAGTCCCGGCTCCAGCCTCCAGCCTCGCCAGCTGAAAGGGGAATGGTTGGTGGTGTCAAAGAACCCTCCTCAGGGCCCGGGAGAGATTCTTCTAGTCAGAGTAGACAAGGCTGACCTGGATGGACCGGTGGCCTGACATTGTAGAAGGCCGCTTCAAGTTCATTCCTCTGTGTGTGTCTTCAAAGGTAGAACAAAGTCCACATCCGGTGGCACCTTTTAAGACCAACAAAGTTTTATTTGTTGGCCTTAAAGGTGCCCAGTCTGGACTTGAACTTCATTCTGCTGTTTCGGACCAACACGGTTACCCCCCCCCCCCGAATCTGTTTTTAAAGGTGTTTTTTGGCATCTCATGCTTGCGGTCGATGGGTGGAGAGATCCAAAAGGTTTTGAAGGATTTACTTCTTTTCTGCGACTGTGGCCAGGAATTTGATCACTGTGGCTATGGCGGCACCTTGACAAGGGAGCCAATGTCTTGAGATTAGGGTTGCCAACCCCCCCGGTTTGCCAGGGGTCCCCCGTTTTTGGGGGGGTTCTACCCGCCCCAAACACCCACAGCCACCCATCTCTCTCCCTTTAAGGGTGTGCAACCCGTGTTTCATCCCAAGCGGAACTCCGCAAGCTTGCAGGGAAAAGCCAGCTTCGTTCTTAAAAGCTTCTCTTAAAGGGGAAACGCCGGCTGCTGGCTACTTTAAGTGCAGGGAACTGCTGTTTCTGGAGATCCGGCGCACGCCTGGAGGGGGGGGCGGCAGACATCCCCAACGTGACGTCATCACGTTGGGGATGCCCCACCTCTTCCAGGAACGCCCCCAAAGTCCCCCGCTGGGGGTGGAAGATGGACTTGGCAACCCTAGATGCCACCATCCCCTTATCTGGGCCACGTTTAGCCCCCCTTTTCTCCCAAGGATTCTGACTTGTGCAGAATCATCAGGCCTGCGGTTCAGGTTCTGAGAGAGTCGTTGACATTTGCTTTGCCTCTCGTGGTGGGGGAGCGGAATCTCAACATGTACTGCTGCTCCAGTGGCTAGAATGTGGGGAAGGCATGGGAAGCGGAAGGGCCACCACCCCGCCGCCTCTGGGGCTGTGGGTTTAAACAAATCTGGCAAGGTTGGCTGAGCAGCAAGGCAAATCCGAGGTGAAATTCTACAGGCGCCGACATTTTGAAAGATTTACGCGCTTTGTTCAGACCACTGTTCCTTGGCATGGTTCTCTTCTGAAATACTAGAATACACTTTTATTAATCTTCCTTCACTGCACAAGGTCAGTGTGGCTTTAAGAAGGGCCTTTTATGGGAAGCGATCACTTTGACTTTGAAATTAGAACTGATCTCTTTCTTTCCCGCTAAATGTATGCTTTGTTCCCTCCTAGGACAGTGACAACCTCTGGTGGGATGCCTTTGCGACAGAGTTCTTTGAAGACGATGCGACCTTAACACTTTCCTTTTGTTTGGAAGATGGACCAAAGCGATACAGTAAGGGAAAAAGTGTATTATGACTTTTCCAAGTTTGCTTCTGTGTATTTAGCCTGTAAAAAGGCAAGTGTCTGAAAAAAGCCTTACCTCGATGTTCAGTGTGTATCAAGACACACAGAGAGCTTTCCCTAGAGTAGAGCCAGTATGGCGTTGTGGCTGAGAGAATGTGGGTCTTCGGCTGAAGAGATCTAGGTTCAATTGTCAATGTCCACTGATTAAGGAACCTCGCTTTGAGGTCTTGGACAAGTCACTGTCAAAACGGCCCTGTATGGACCTCTGGTGCGGCCTCATTTGGAATATTGTGTACAGTAGGCTTGCCAAGTCCCCCTGGGGGGGCGGGGAAACCCCCGCCCCAGAGGCCCGTTCCCCGCCGGCGGTGGATCGGGCCCTGGGGGGAACTCCACCCCGACGTGCACGTCGCCCGGAAGTGACACGACCACGCCGAGCACGCTGGAGGCGGGGCCACGGTCATCCAAGGGAAAACTCTATGGTTTTCCCAGCCACCAGCCGGGAGTCCCCCGCTGCGGCTGAATTCACACTTGGCAACCCCTAGTGTACAGTTCTGTTCACTGTATCTCAAAAAGGACGCTGCAGAGCTGGGAAAAGTACAGAGGTGGGCAACCAGGATGATTTAGGGGTTGGAGCACTCTTAAGAGGAAAGGCTGAGGAGTCTGGATCTTTTCAATTTAGAAAAGCGAGGACTAAGGGGGGGGGACATGAGAGAGGCTTATAACCTGGTGCACTGAAGTGGAGAGAGTTGATAAAGAGAACTTTTTCTCCTGCTCCCAAAATACTAGAACTCGAGGGCATCCAATGAAACTGATGGGGAGTAGGTTCAGGATGGACAAAAGGGAATACTACTTTACCCAGAGAGTGATTAAACTGTGGGATTCGCTGCCCGAGGATGTCGTGATGGAGATTAGACAGATTCATGGAGGAGAAGTCTCTCAATGGCTCCTAGCCATGGTGACTGAGGGGAACCTCCACATTCAGTGGCACTAATGTTCTAAATCCCAGAGCCAGGAGGCAACATCAGGGGAAGTCCTCGGCCTCTCTGCCCTGTTGTGGGCCCTCCAGAGGAACTGGTTGGCCCCTGTGTGAGACAGGATGCTGGACTAGATGGACCCTCACTGGTCTGGCCCAGCAGGGCTCTTCTGATGTTCTTATCAGGGGAAGTCCTCGGCCTCTCTGCCCTGTTGCTGGCCCTCCAGGGGAACTGGTTGGCTACTGTGTGAGACAGGATGCTGGACTAGATGGACCCTCACTGGTCTGGCCCACTGGCAGGGCTGTTCTTCTGTTTTTATTAAGGGAAGGAAGCAGAAATCGGGGCTCGAAAGCGGGGGGAATTCTGCCCCCCGGGGCATTTGGCAGCCCTATCTCCAATATTTCGGCTATAACATTCTTGCTGCTGTTAAAATATATACAGCAAGATAAAAGTCTTGTCTCTTATAATTTTCTGGAGTTATATTCAACAAAAACAAAGACCAATATTTTTTACTTTTCTCACATGTCCTCCACATATGAAAAAATGAAATGACATTATTATGACATTTCCAACAATCATATGATAATTCAGGATAGATCTTAGCTAATTTATCTGGAGTCATATACCATCTATAAAACATTTTATATATTTTTTTCTTTATAAACAGTTGCTTTAGTAATGTTTATATTAGTTTTCCATACCCTTAACTATTGGTCTAATTCAATATTATGACCCAGGTTTTGTGCCCATTTAACCATACAGTTCTTAACTATTTCATCCTGTGTTTTATGTTCCAACATTAATATATACAATGTCTTAATCAATTTATCATCAGCATATAACAATATTTTTTCCATTTCTGTTGTTTTTGAGTAAAAACCCAATGGTTTATCTTTAGCAAATCTCAACTCTATTTGTACCCTTTCCCACCATCCTATATTTATTTCTTGTTCTTTCAGTTTTTGTATTGTTTTTAATTCATTTTCACTATCTAGTAGATCTTCTTATATCAGCAACATGTTTTTTGAAAAAGGTTAGGATTTGTAAAAGCTTCAAGTGATGAAACCCATTTAGGTGTCTTGGTATAAAATATTAAATGAACAAATGACTACATATGAAATAACAGAAGCACTAAAGAAGCAAAGGAAAGGGAAAACGCCAGGTCCAGATGGCCTGCCAGCAGAATTTTATCTTGACTTTGAAGAACAGCTAACATTGCCCGTAAAATATGTTATGCAGAGTATAAGAATAGATGGTAAAATACATGGAATGAGGCATTAATAACTCTCATAAGAAAACTCATACGAGAAAGAAATTAAAAACTATAGGCCAATTTCTCTACTAAATGTAGTTTATAAAACCTATGCTTCTATTTTGGTAGCAAGATTGAAAAAAATATTGACACAGATAATTCATCAGGATCAAGCAGTTGGGGGTTTTTTTAATCAAAAAGACAACTTAGAAATAATGTAAGAACTGTACTAAACGTGATTGAATACGAGAGCCAGTTTGGTGTAGTGGTTAAGTGTGCGTAGTCTAATCTGGGAGAACCGGGTTTGATTCCCCACTCCTCCACTTGCACCTGCTGATGTGACCTTGGGTCAGTCACAAGCTCTGGCACAGCTGTACCTGAAAGAGCAGTTTGTGTCAGAGTTCTCTCAGCCCCACCCACCTCACAGGGTGTCTGTTGTGGGGAGGGGAAGGGAAAGGAGTTTGTAAGCCGCTCTGAGACTCTAAGTGAAGGGCGGGGTATAAACCCAATCTCTGCTTCTTCTTCTTCTTCTTTGAAGCACATCCAGAGAAACAAATGGCCTTAATTTTTCTAGATGCTGAAAAAGCATTTGACAATGTCAGTTGGAGTTTTATGTTGGAACAGCTATCAACTTCAGAATGTGGCAGATAATTTTTTCAATGATACAAGCAATATATACTAAACAACGGGCAAGAATTCTTATTAATGGAGACTTATCACAGTATATTGAAATACAAAAAGGAACCAGACAACGTTGTCCACTCTCGCCATTACTATTTATAATTGCACTTGAAATATTGAAAAATATTATTAGAGAGGACAGAAGCATTAGAGGAGTTAAAATAAGAGGAGAAGAATATAAATTACAAGCATTTGCAGATGATTTGGGATTCATTTTAGAGAATCCATCGAGTTCAATTACAAAGCTATTAACCGTATTGTTAAATTATGGCAGAGTGGTGGGATTGAAGATCAATTTAAACAAGACAAAAATGTTAACAAAAAATATGACTAAGGACTAGGTGAAACAACTGCAAGAGGAATCAGGATTTGAATCACAAAACAAAGTGAAATATTTGGGAATAAAAATAACAAAGAGATGCAGCTCCTTGATGAAAGACAATTATACAGAACATGATAGAAATTAAAAAAGACTTAGAGAAGTGGAAAAACCTATAAATATCCTTAATGGGCAAAATAGGTACAATCCTAGGCTGATTTTTAAATTTCAAACAATACCATTACTCCAAAATCAACAATACTTCAAAGAATTGGAGAAAGTCTCATCACAGTTTTATATGGCATAATAAAAACCAAGAATAAAGATGAAAAATTTGCAAGATGCCAAAGAAAGAGCTGGATTTGCTTTTTCAAAATGGTGTTTGTACTATAGAGCGACATCACTAGTTTGGATAAAAGAATGGATATTATTAGAAAATAACAGACTTTTAACTTTAGAGGGACATGACCTATTATTGGGTTGGCATGCTTATATGTGGTATGGAAAATCAGATTCACATAAGTATTTTAAACAACATATGATTAGAAAATCCTTATTGAAGGTATAGGAAAATGATAAAAAATTGTTTAGGTTTTGAATCAAGACTGGCAGACGGGAGGACCACGTGGACTGAGGGTGGCTCGTTTATAAAATCTAGAGTTTACTTGGCACAGCGGGCTCTAGGGTTACGAATATAGGTAGGCTTCCACAGAGGGTGCTTCAGGGCTAGCTCTGATACGGACTGTAGGCTGGCAAAGCGAGATATGTGGGTCCACGTATTCATATGATCCAACCTAGAGGTTTTATCCAAGAAGCCAGTGACGCTTACGCATAATATGTGGCTTTCTTATGCTTCTGAACAGGCTCCTGCTAGCCAATCGGGGAAGGATGCAGGTGCACTTGGTAGGCATCTACATTAAAACTTCACTCCTTTTGCACTGCAATGCAACTGCACGATGTGCTCCAACTGATTAAAACTTTAAACAGCCCTAAATTTGCAATCCCACTGATCAGAATTGGTCCTGGAGTTTGAGGTGATTCATCGATTGACTGAATTAATTGATAATGGCAGTGACCCTGCGTTTTTATGTATGTCTTTATTTCCTTCATACAACGCAAATGTATAACATCTACCTCCACGTTGTTTCAAAGATCGATACACAACTTTTACATCTAAAGGACGTAAAGGGCTTCACAGTTGAAATATAAGCACCGTAAAATGTATTGAAAATGTTACAATTAAACAGTTTGGTTTTGACAATCGGTGAAAGAAACACTAGCGTTGTAATTAATGTCAAAAGAAGGCCATGCAGAACAGATGTGTCTTTACTAGAATGGTCCTGGCCAGTGAAGGAGCTGCGCAGGTTAGTCTGGAGAAAAGAAGGCTGAGGGGAATCACAGAACAGAAGATGAAGATCTTTTTTTTTGTGGTAAATATTTTTATTGGGTTTTTTAAACAAAGAAATACCCACCACCTACAACACCACACCATTGCTACTTATACATAATTGCTTCAAGACAGCAACATACACATTTTCTTACTTATCCAGGATTACCAGCATCCAATATTTATACTAAATATAATTATCTTTCTTGCTCCTTTCGGGGTAGACCTCTAATCTTCTTTCTTCTTCTTCTTCAAAAAAAAAAGAAGATGAAGATCTAATGGACTTAAGGCACAGGCGGGTTGGTCTCTGTTGTGCATCTGATACGGACTGCAGGTGTAGGAGCAACTTTCCAATGGACAGCGTGGGTTGGTAATG